GGATCCTTCAATTCCAAGCCCGTATTTTCCCAAAAGAAAAGAATTCAGAGGTAAACACCTACAGTTCAGCGCGTGATTTTTCATTGTCTATTTCTGATTGTGACAATCATTAGGCTCAGAGGTCCCACTTAATTTAAGGTGCCTGTTTTAATTCAGACAAAGGCTGTAGTTGCAGCTGACTTCCCAAGACTGCAATAGGTGGTGGTGACACAGCCTCGGGCCTCCGTTTTTGTGCTAATCTCACGTTTCCTTTCTCTGCCTTGAAGGGCAGCTCGTGCTGGAAGTGGCCGCTATCACGCTATGAATGAAGGTCGGTATAGAAGCAGCTGCTGATGGAAGGCAGGAGGTCCAGGCTAATGAACTCTGAGGCATCTCCTGGTGTGGTACCAGAGGTGGCAGTAATGATGTTGGGGGACAGTTGCAGAAGAACGTGATGAGCTCCCCAGCAGGAAGCCACAAAACCTGCAGAAACCTGCAGGAGAGTCAGAGCATGCGTGGGAGCCCAGGAGGAAATGCAGACCAGGTGTTTGAGCAGCGCCTGGCAGTGGAGTGCTGTAGCCCATGACCAGAGCGATTCAGCCTTCGCTGAGCTGGCTTCCCAAGTACAATGTGTCTGTCCTTGTAAAAACCAGAGGGCTGGCTCATCCAAATGCTTGCTGATTGTTTGGAAGCTCCAATTCTGAAGCTCACATTCTTCCAGCCTCCAAGCTGGAGGCAGCCTGGAGGCAACATCTCCCAGGTCCAATCGTGCGGTGCCTGAGTGAGAGGGTGACCCGAGATGGCTGCACAAGAGTCACCTTAATTACTCTGTTATCTTACTTCGGATAACCCCATTGGGTGACCCTCTCTGGTGTTGGTCTCTTAGAATTTGGATCTAGGAGGTGTCCTCTTCCTTTGTTTATAATGAAAGTGTGGAAGTGATGTAGAACCGTGCTGAGGTCGCAATCGTTGCTGGGGTGGGAGGTTTGGCCCTCAGCTGGTGAGCAGAGCTGGTGCTTTGGTGAGCGTGCTGCACACAGAGACTGAGCTCTGAGCGTTCCTTGGAAGGGATCATCCTTGGAGAGCCCGTCAGAAGCACCGTTGTGGCGTGTGTGTGACCTGGGCACAGCCCAGACTGACTTGGACAAAGAGGTGAGCTGGACTTGGTGCTGTGCGGTTGCTGGAAAGAGTCTCAGCAGAAAAGCTAGGCTGGGGAGGAGTTCCCCGCTCAAGCGAGGCCCTTCCAAATGGCTGTTTCCAGGAGAAACTGATTCTCTGAGAGATTCTGTCACACGTTTCGGTGAGGATGACAAATTGTCATCACTCCCCTGTGTAATGCTACAGTGCGATGCAAAGCACAGGGATAATAACCCCGGTGGCAAAATCCTTGGCAATCCTGCAGCAACTGAGGAGTTGCCCAAGTGCAGCAGCTGGGGACACAGAAAGAAAGGAAAAAAGCTGCTGAGCCTTGGGAGGCCTCAGGAAGGCAGGGATCTCCAGACGGGCACCCTTGCCTCCACTGCCAACCTTTCACTGATGTCTGGGAAGGGTTTGCATGCGCCTGAGCTGCCCTGGCGTGGCCCTGCCTTCTCACCAGGTGCTCAATCACTGCTTCAAGCTGAGACTGAGCATTGCCACTACAGCCCTGCAAAATTGCTGCAGGGCCCCAGCCTTCATCTCAGACATGACAAAGGAACAAGAGCTAAGACTTTGTGCACTGCAGTCTGTGCTTTAATGAAACGTGGAGCGCTGGTTGTGCTGTCTCCAGCATATTTTTAACAAAACCCTGAGGAAGTCATGGTGGAGAGCCGGGTGCTCATCTGGGGACATGGACTGTCCAGTGACATCACAAGCACGGTGACACCACAAGCACGGTGACACCACAAGCACTGTGACATCACAAGCACTGTGACTTCACAAGCACTGTGACATCACAAGCACTGTGACATCACAAGCGCTGTTCTTGGGGCCATGGCTGCCACCAGTGAGTGCCACAGCCGTGAGCGCTGCGCAGGAGTGTGGACACGCTGCGTCAGCTCTCGTCCCGGCTGGCAGTGATAGTGGTGGTGGCTGACGGGTGCTGCCCGCTCTCGCTGACGGAGTTGCTCAGCCATTGGGCTGGTGTGTTAGCTGGAAGGGAGAAGGACTGCAGCTGTGCCTGGGTAAGCCAGAACTGTAGCGTTGTCAAACATGTGAGTTGTACCAGTGCCTCCATTGCAGCTGCAGCAAAAGGGGAAGATGAAGGGAGTCTTCTTCACGTCACACAAAATATGTGCTGCAAGGCATATAACTGGTGATGAGATGGTGGACAGCACTTGCTGGGAGTAGTGGCAGTTAGACACAAGTTGGATCTAGAATTGGCACAGTTCTTGCAACCAGCT